CTGTCTTCTCCTTCTACAATCAGGGTAGGATCTAACAAGAACTCTACTTCTTCCTCTTTGTAGTCATACTCACTGTCTGATCACTAGATTAACTATTAAGCTTTTAGTATAAAATCACTTATCTCACTTAATGATCAAAGTTGATCCACCAAAATTAGAGAATTACTGAGTAGTGATATTTGGACAGAGATATTGTACATTGAATCCAAAAGCACACAGATAAACATCTATAATAAATTGTTCAAATTAATTAATTACACAGAGAGGGTTTGCAAATCTTGTATACTTATAACTTATCTAATTGAACAATTCAGACTGTTAAGTGGTATGTCTGGTTATACAAAAGATATGCATTCTAATTGACTTAATTCTGTGGCATATCTCATAAATTCCTTTTGACCAAATATAGTATGCCTTTCCTGAGTGAGAAATAGGCAAGAATGTATCCTATTACAATGCTTAAGCAAATAAAACCAAACATAGCTACTTGTGTTGATATTAGACAACTGTGTGCAAGTTCTTGTCTTACAATCACACTACAATCACCCCCTGCCCCTCCTACTTTGATGTTCACAATGATCCAGACCATCTCAGCTGTCTCTAGCATATCAAACACTGTCTTGGCAGCAAATGCAACAGAGAACAATGTCTATGTATCTGTCAACAGTAAGCCAGTTCAAAACACCCTTAATATTATGTACAAGTTTGTAGATCCTTCTGTGCCCCCTGTCTCATATATAGTGTCCTTAGTATACATTCAAGAATGTCTGACACCTGTTAACAAATTCTAAGATGCCCAAAAAATTGCATTTTACAATCTTGCCAAAGCCTACCTGTCTGCCAACCCATCACTTAGTTCTTCCTATGTCCCCAACTCTATAGCTATTACACAATCAGTACCAGGTTTTATTACAAATAGAGACCTTTGAGCCCTTGCCTGCAAGCACAACAAAAAGGTGTAGGAAGGAATGGTGAATTCTTGTTTCACTTCATAGATATCAATTCATACTTATTTTTTGTTTCAGTGTATTTTGCATGCTTGTACTGAGGAGCATCTTGAATTTGTCTTTTTAGTAAGTATTGACTGTCTTGTAACAGCCAGACATGGCTCTTTGTCTGTGGACCTTGCAAGTCTCATTAACATTTGCCTCCCTAATGTTATTCTGTTCAAGGGAGCTTTTGCTACTACAACCTACTGTTACAAGGAACATATTGTAGCAGCTATTACAGATTACCTTAATGATTCCTCAAGAAGGCATGGATACTCTACTGTAATCATAAAACAGGTGAGTACAACTTTTGGGCAGCTTCAAGCAGGACAATCTTCATTCCTAGTTACTGTAAGGAGTAGTAGGTTGAGATTAGACTGACACAATCTACTTAGGCAAAGGTCTTCAACTGTAGTGACCTTGATCCTCTCCCACATACTGAGACCCATTATCTGGACATTGACATTGAGGACATTACAGATGACAAGTCTGAGACTTGTATGGTTTCAGATGGTCCTTCTGGCTTACAGGCTACTGTGACACTAGACAAGGAGTACTAGGGGAATAATAACCCCCCAACACTTGAAGTTCTCTAAGCACTTGAGCAAGCTGAGTCAGAATATATGTCTACAACAGTTCAGGCAGGTAGTACAGTTGGTACTCAGGTTGTCAGGGATGAGGGTCCTGGTTGTTGTTAAACCATCTCAAACCACTACACAGATGAGGTCAGATTAGATAGTACTCAGGCTCAAATTGTCTAGTCTCATAGTATGATTGTGATTCCAGCTGGGTACAGTATTATTATTGCCTCTCCACCTATGTCTAACAGTCCAGATACTCCTTACTGCCTCAGTTCACCTCAGTCACCTCAGTCATCTCAATCATCTTAGCCATACATTATAATTGTATCTCCTAAAGCTTCTTCTAAGGTGTGTATAGAGAATTTTACTTGTATTCAAGTATCTTTAACAAATACTAATGTATTCTCTACAGTCCAACCTTTCCAGTAAGGCAGTACCCACTGAAGCAGCACCTACTGAAGTAGTACCCACTGAAGTAGCACTCACTAAAACAGTACCCACAGCCTCTTGTATCAGATGCTCCCTCAGACACACACTATGTACTGTGTGTTCAGAAGCTGTTTCTAATAATACCTTCAGAGTTTGAGTGTACAAAAAAAAATTCTGTTGACATGTTAAGTATGCTTGAATGCTACTCTGACTTACTTCCATGAATGTGCCTTATTTCTATTTGCATTTGTTGTTCTTCTGTGCTTCAAAATGTTTCTGAATTTTTTTTGTCTGTATGTTCAATTACTATACATTTTGTTGTTTACTATCTTGTGTATCTTGTCCCCTATCTTCTTGTTGTGTTATTACAATATTATGAATAACTTGAGTTTTCATACAAGTCAAATGCCTTAAAAAATAATAATTCAAATGTATAGTATAGTATAGTATATGTATATTTGTGTTTGATGTACTTCTATTCAATTTCTGACAGAATGGATGTGTACTGAAGTGCCACATGAATGTTATTGAAAATACAAGCAATCTGTCAAGTCAAAATAACTCTTCCTTTACTGATTCTCCAATTCAAGGTGTCAACTGACATGTTATCTTGTTAATATGTTACTATACAATATCCCCTAGTATGCCTCAGAAATGTCAATTGTAACTAATATTTTGTAGAATTACACTCAACTTCACACTCTCCTCCTTCATAGATTCTACACTGATTGATCCTATACTACTTGATCCTGCACTACTTGATCCTACACTACTTGATCCTACACTACTTGATCTGGTACCAGATATTTCTGTACCTATTGATCCTGCACTTATTAAAGCAATGGTTGCATACAAGTTAAGCAAGAATACAGTCAAACCTTGAAGGTCTACAGTAAAAAACATCCCTGCTTCAGAACAGAAGCTTCAGGCAGACAAGAGGGCTGAGAAGGCAGCTGCTGTTTGGTCAGATGTTGTACAAGAAGTTGCTTGCCATTACCAAGCACTTGATGCAATTGCTGCTCAGCATGGTGTTAATCCTGAACAACTGAAGGAGAAGGTATTTGCTAGGGCATCTCTCAAGAATGAACAGAAAGTGAATCCTTTCAATGCCTTTGTACATTTCAAGGCTGTCCAATACAAGGAAGGTAGTGTGTAGCCTGAATTATGAATCATATTGTATAAGCTTATTTATTTTTTAGATCTATCATTAAATGTTAGTACAGACACAAGAGCAAGACTCTGAGAGATTCATAATCTGCCAGACAACAAAGGTTACACAACATGGCAGTCCTTAGACAAGGAGTCAAAAGATAGTATACTGAAGATGCTGGAGGACCACTGTATGAAGAAGTCTACTTCATCTCAGGCTAGGCCATTGAAGAAGTCTATTGGTCAAACAGTACAGCACACAGGTGAATGTATCATTAAAGAGGTGAGTACACATTACATTGTATTATAAATGTATATCCATATCTAACTCTTTTATACTCAGTTATCAAACCTTTCTAAACGAGCAGGAACCTCTTCATTATGCATTATAGTCCATACATCACCAAATGGCTCACATACACTAGTTATACACTGTGACAACATATTAAAACAATTCTTACAGAGTGGACTTGGCAAGTCCCTTACTGAGTTTGCTAGCTTGTTTGAAGGATTTGCAATCTCTGAGTTGGAAGGACTTGCACATGCTAATGCTACAGCAAACCACACAAAGCAATACATTGGCACAAAAGGTGAAATACAATCAATTATTCACAATAATCTATGTGAGTAATCAGCTCTATTACATACACATATTTTAATACATTATAGGTGAAATCACTAGTATTGAAGATATTGTAATGAGTTGGTTGTACTACAAAGAAAAGATTGTCAAGGTACACAAAGTCAAACTTGTAGGATGGCCTAGCAACCTTTCATTCAAACTTGATAGTATGGGCAAAACAAACTTGAAACATATCCTTACTACAATTCAAGATGGGTCTTGTCATTGGAAACATCTTACAATAGCAGAAATACAAGAGATCAATGAGACAGACAAGCCCCCAAGCAAGAAAGCAAGGACTCGATCTGATAAAGGAGTACCTAGGGGCCCTTACTGAAAGTCATCTGTACTGTGTCACTACAAAGTAAACAAAGGAGGGGCCAAAATAACTGTTCACTCTGACAGTAAGGAGTCTAACAATTCTAGCAAGACTACTAGCATGAGTGATTCTGATAGTGACTCTGACAGTGCATCAGATAGCTCTTCTGTAGCTTTGAGCAGGGCATTTTAGTTGTTTCAATGATACTCAATCATTATTGTTACATAAGCATACTAGTGCAGAATGTTGCTTCTTGATGCATTGCTAATGTCTTCAAAGTGTTTACTGTAGTCTATTAATGTATAATACAATAGGGTTATACAGGTCATTCAATACAATTTGATGTGTCTACCAGCTATTTATTAATTGGATTGTCTTGTGCATTTTGATTTCCAGCCTTTCTCTTAAGTCTATGTGACATAAAATAAGGCACTCACACTTTGAAGTCTCCTGCTCCACCCCTGCCAACCACTGTTCTTTCTACTGCTACTGAAGACCACTCTACCACACTGTCACCTTCACAGGATTGGAAGGCAACTCTGAGTCTGACACAATATAGATTTTGTGTGTCAACAGTATGCAAGTTATGTAAGCTTAAGGATGCAACACCCTTTCTTAATCCTGTTGATCTGGTGGCATTTAACATCCCTCATTATCTGAGTATTGTAAAACATCCTGTGGACTCTGTAATCCTTTATTACAAACTCATTGCTTCTAATCCTGTGTAGCCTGATATTAATCCAGCAAACCCTCAATACCTTACTGTGGACAAGTTCATTACTAGCATGTGCCAGTGCAAAGCTTGTACATTACATAAAGTAGCAAAGACTACTACTGACAAAGGCATGCAGCCTTGACAGCTCAGGGGACCTTAATTGAATTTATAAACAACATGATTCAGTATTAAAGGCAAACTTAATTTTGCCATTATTAAATTGTCCAAAGAAAATACCATTTATAGCATTTTTGTTATATTAATATGTATATGTTAACATCATAAATGAATATTAAATGATTTTATATGGACTTTAAAAAAATATGGGTAAGAAAGGTGGAGAAATGAGGGAGATAAGTGAGCTCACTGTTTGAGACAGTGAGCTTAACATGTGCCATGTTGAGCATGAGTATATCACAACATGTATGATGACAAAGACATGTAGGTAATGCATGTGTGATGTGTCAGCTCATTACTTGCAGGAAAGAAATAAGTAAGGCTTTTTTTATAATTCAGTACAGTATTAAGCACAGTATAGGGAAAAGACTGAACTCCCTTCTAATTAGAGGGACTACAAGGGCTGTGTAACCCCTCTAATTAGAGTGGAGATAGCCCATGCCTCAGGTGCTCTTACATGGGGCATTTCACAATTCCTTACCTTAAAAAATAACTTACATAATGATAAACATTATTTGAAATTTATTTTCCCATTTTTGACCAGCAAAAATTATAAACAAAATTTGTAATTTTCTTAAGACAAAAACTATAAATTATTTTTAATATTTATCTATTTGTGAAATCTTAAAATAAATGGAAATAATAATCTAAAACATAATTTCAAAACAAAATTAGAAATTTTCTTTTAAATTTCTTCATTACTAGTACAGAGGAATAACAAAAAATTCAA